CGAAAAAGATACTAAAGTTGAAAATCGAAGCATTATTTCGACTACTTATCATGTACACAGACACAACTAAAAAAACGAGTGTGTGAGCTCACCATTACATTCTGGGGATGTAAATCTGTCATAAGTATTGAGGTGAAATTAATAATTATATAATATGTGAATTAGAGAGAGAGAAAGAAAAATCAATACAATAAAAATAAACGTGCACGCCGCCACCGTGCATAACTTGCAAAATAAATACTTCAAAAGGTTGGTACCACTCTGCTGTATAGTAATTGTAATGGATTTATGGATGTGTTTTATTTTAATACAATGATAAACCATTCTACACGAAAAACGATTAGCGTAGTCGTTATAATATTATTATTTTTCGTTACGATTTTTTTCTACCCACACCTCAAGAAAGAAGTTTTACTTAAAAAAATAAAAAATAAAAATAATACATACATCAACATCATTGTAAAATCAATACATTCATAGCTCCGCTCAGAATCTAAAAAAAAAACGTAAGAAATAATAATAATTAATGAGTCTTAACCAAATCATCCTGTATTCCTGTATATTTGTAAAATTGAGAACTTTTTAATACTCACATGAAAATATTGAATTGGATAAGACAGTTTTTTATGGATCCATAATCAAATTCATCTGGCTTTTTTTGAAAAATCATAATCACGTCTCCGGTATGGTCTAGTGGCTAGGATACCTGGCTTTCACCCAGGAGGCTCGGGTTCGATTCCCGGTACCGGAAAATAACTTTTGTATTTTTTTTATTACATCGTAATCATTCCTATGCAAAATGAAAAATAAAATAAATACAATCATTATAATATTATCTGTTAATCAACAATAATAATATTATGCATAATTCATAAATATAATATATAATAATACTTATTAATATGTAAATTTCGCAATTGGACAAAATTAGTTAATATAATTTTGAATCGCTTCCATAGTATTTCATGGATATTTTAAATGGTGATTACACAGTATATCGTACATGTAAATAGAATCATGGTCGTTGTCATGGGGGATATGGGGGTTGATCCCCCCCCAATGACCTTTTTTTAGATTCTGATCATAGCGATAATTGTATTGATTTTACAATGAGGTTTGTTTTTTAATTATGTAGGTCAATATCTTTTGTGGCAGTAAACTGTAAAAATGCTTCGAGTTTCTACTTTAGTATAATTTCTGGTAGGAAAATGAATCTAGTTGGTGTTTTGGGGAAAAGTTGATTAAAACTGAAAAATGTACAGTAGTTTTCAATATTTGGGAAAAACTAGTTTTCTTAAAAATCAATTTTGTTATTTGATGTAATAAATCATGTATATGTCATATATTATACATGTATGTATATGTTTTGTAAACTTAATATATTCATAGCTACTGTTGCGAACCAGATGTGGAGTTCGGTTGACAAGGTCGAATCAAATTAAGTAACACGTAGTCAAATTAGTTATTATTATAAATTTATTGACCAAATATCTCTAGCATGAATACTGTCAACTAGTCATCACGCAGAAATAGTGTGTGTGGTCTCCCTGATGGGGAGCCTTTATATAGTAGACAACACTACAACAGTCAGATTACATGGTCCTTTACAAGGTCCCACTTAAGGATTCGCTATGGCTCTTCTATACTTTAGAAACTAACTTTTCCTTGTGGCACTCGTTAATAGTAATTAATATATTGTGCCACGTACACCATGCGTAATACTGTAGTAATAATATTATATACTTGTGTGGTCCTAACCTTGGCTATTGCAACACTACGCTCAGAATCTAAAAAGGTATAATGAGGTTGTTATGGTAACATAATTATATTAATCATTTGTTACTAGGGGACACCTAGGAACTTTACAACATTAATTTCATCTTTGTTATTGTTTGGTTGTCATGACAACTGTAATGTGTAAACGGTCAGAAAAATACAATAATATTTGAGGCTCCTAGCCTAAACACGATGACGTCAATGTAACGCTCTCTGTGTCACACCAAATTTATTGAATGACCCCCAGCCTTAAGATATATACATGAATATTAGTGCGGGGGCAATACCTTGTAATTTATCTCAACACTTATGAATATATATCCACCCTCAATGACAATTCCTGTCTACGCCACTCAATATAATATTGTTTGATTGACATTTACGAATTGTGTACATTGGCGCCCAAGATATATTTTTCAGGTGTAGCAAGAAATAATTTTACCCGCCCCCTCACGAACTCAAAATTATATTATTTTATTTTATTCATACATTTTATCATATTTTAATTGATAATATTAGTAAATATTGAGGTATCAATAAATATAATCTGTGATTAATAATGAACATATTTCTAGTTAATTATTTTATATTATTATACCTACCCACCCCTTATTTTCAAGGTATAGCGACCACTACACCTAGTAATAGGGTTGGGCGCCACTGATTGTGTATGTAATATCATTGATTATAAATACTAGTATAATCAATGGAAATAATAACTCAGTAAAGCTTAGTCTCTATAAAAATTATTTTGTTGAATTACAACAGAACAACTAATATACATATTTTAGTTAATAAATATTGAAATGTCTATAATACAACAAAATGTACTTATTTATTTTTAATACCTTTAAATTACTATAAGCAGTAAGCACAACTTAATACATGGGATATTATATTTATTGATAAGCTTTTTTACCAAGCCTAAGAATTTTTCAACACACAAACTAAACCTTAAATCCTACTAATATAATAAACGCAAAAGTTTGTAAGTATATTTGTTACTCTTTCCCGTAAAAACTACTGAATAGATTTTAATGAAACTTTACAATAATATAGCTTATACATCAGAATAACACATAGACTACAAATCACCCCCCTAGGTCCAACCAGGGTATGTGCTCAAACGAGGATTTAGAGATTTAAGGTGGAAATTTTTGTTTATAAATGGTAGCCATGGGTTTGAAAGCTATTAAAATAATAATTATTGGTTGCCGTGAAATCAGTGTATTCATTCAATGCATTTAATTTTTTTGTACACTGTGTTTTGATATTATATGTATCGCAATTTCGTAAATTTTGAGAGTATTATACTCACATATAAGTTACATACTTAAAACAATGCCACGTCTTCGTGGATGAGGAGGAAATATTGATCGACAGACTCGGCATTCACAATTAGTCCAGCCATTTAGGAGGAGTTCAGTGACATACTTGGTATAACTTTGATACTTTAGAGTTAAGTTATAAAGTTACCTACAAACAGCACGGTCTATCTACCTGATAATATACTGCTGCGAATCAGAATTTTCATCCCAGGCAACAGAAGAGTAAGATAAAGACAGAAGATAAATTTTGAACATCATACACCGAATATTAAATAACGAATTGAACAAAGTTTGAGTCATATAGAGTTGGTACATTTAACGTGAAACAAAGTACACGGGATCAGCTAGTAATTTATAAATTTAATATAATAGCTTAAAATTAGTCAAAGTATTTGGTAAATTTCATTGTGTATAGAAAATGATAATATTTAAAGTACCCAATAGTTAATGTTTAAAGTTCCTACAGTTAATAACAAAATAAAAAGTTTATCGTGAGAAGAAAATTTCGGTACAATATGTCAACAAATTATAATGCAAATATAAATAGGTAGATTTAAATTAAACTTCCCACAATTAGTTTAAGGTTTGAAAAAACAGGACTACGTACTTGTTATATTTTTAATTAGGTAGGTAAAAGAGGAACTAATTGGGCCAAAGCTTCTATTACTCTAATTATCTACTTGTTATCGATAATTAAACAAAAAACATTAATACATTTGAAGATTGTATTGAGTAACAGACAACAGTGGAATGTTTCAAGTTTTTACGATTAATATTCTTTGAATTACAATACTAAAATCATTAAAAATGTGGAACTATTTTTATTTAAAATTTAAATACCTATTAAGTATTAAGTTTTATTAATAATGAAGTCTATAAGGTTAAATATACATAAAATTCAGTTTTAAATAAAAATTCTAAAATACTTGGTATTATGAAACTCGTATACCTAGCATCAGTACAGTCAACACAGAACAGTCAGAACACTAAACATTGCATTAATATTATGTAAAATCAATGATATTATAACCCTTATAACCCTTGAAGTAATTATATAATTTTTTAAAAAAACAATGACCCAGTGATGGCATTGTCTTCTTTGCATGTTAAATACTAAATTGTATCACCTTAAATTAGTTGGATTTCAGATTGTAGTGATAGTGGACTAGTGGAGATTTTCCATAGGACAACGAGTACTTATGTCTTATATATTTTAAGGTTTGTAACTTTGTAAGTCGCGGTGCCCGGTGGTATGTCGACATGTCGTGCACTCACACTCGTACAGGAACTATCGTTGCTCGTTTGTGGCATGGAAAATAAACTAAATAAAAAAACTTGAAAACAATTATTTAGAGAAGCCGAGTTTTGACTTTTTAAGTAATAACCACGGACGTATATACGTATTACACTATTACGTATACCTATCACTAATTAGTTATGATAACGAAAACAGCTCTAACCATAGACTTATAAACTTATAAAGTTACCGAAACCACGATTAAAAATCGTGACCAATCCTCGTATTTTTGTGATAAGCTATCGACTTGTTGTTATATCACAGTCGTTACGACTTTACGAGTTTAAACAGTACAGTGAAAATGTTATAATCACAAGACGACGCGGCCCCATCTTGATCTGTAGTTACGCAAAACAATAATTGTAGTGCTTAATCTAAACGTTTCGTGAATAAAGTGATTTTTTTAATCAATTGTCATTTTATTATTGTACGGCGTTTGGTGCACAAAAAATTTCTCAGTTGTTTTTAATTTTGATAAGGAAACTGTAAGTTTGTTGTGCTAGTAAGCTAATTGCATAAGGATAAATGCCAGTATCTTAATTTGTTGATTTAATATCCTTTATTTATTAACTTCACGTACCGAAAACATACAATTAAATATGTGTTCTTTGAGAGATTTTCCTGAACTACGGGATTGCAGTCTCACAGATAAGAACGTATCCATGGCATTGGTCATTAAAAGAGTGAAACCTGAGGTTGGTAATTCATTTTTTGTATAGTTTTGAGTGTTGTATAGTCCCAACTAGAGAGTCTAGATCTACTTACTTTTCTATGGTCTAGATAATTATTTATATTAAGGCTCTTTAGTCCCAACCGTTCTGATGACAGTTATTCTGGATTTTTTTTTTTAATTGTATTAGTAACGGCATGCTTGTTGAAAATTAAAGTATTAACAGTCATTATATATCCAGTGTACATACATTTGAAAAACATTCACCAATTTCATATGTTATAGGCAATTGATTACCCAAATATTGTGATCCAGTTGAAAGGAGATCAAAATCCTGAACCATTATTTTTACCAACTTCAAGATTAACAACATTACAACAAATTTTAAGCAAATTGTAAGTACATTATTAAAATCTTTTAAATAAGTAAAGAATAGTTTTTATTTTCTCTTAATATATTTTATTACCTATAAGTGATAAGTAATAGAAAATAACATTAATTTTCATATCTGCTTTGTTATGTTTGTACAGTGCTGAGGAAAACTTCTGGACTGCATGTGACGAACTAGCAAAATTTTTTAAAAGAAATCCAAGTAATTTATCAGTTCTTATGTATCCGTTAGGAGTAATTATGAGATTTTCTCCTCGTGCAAGTTTGAAGGTAACATATTGCATAAATAATTAACTTATAATTTACAAATACTACAAAATGTCCGGCGTTGGGAAAGTAGCGTCCCCATCGCCCAGTACCCTTCATTGGGCGCTGCAATAGCCCCACTCTGGTCTTAAGTGATTGGAGTGGTCTGGCCCTCCAGGTTGGGGGTTGGGCGCTGGGTTAACAACCCAGCCTCGTAAAAAAACTTATGTTCAGGAACCAAACAAAAAGCCTCGGAATAGTGGAGATAAGGAAAACAAAAATGGAAACTGGAAATCGGAAATATCTTTGGGTACATGGAACGTTCGCACATTATACAGCACTGGAGCGGCACATACAGTGACGCAAGAAATAGGGAGATATAAACTTAAAATCGTGGCTATCCAAGAAATTAGATGGCAAGGAACGGGATCCTTGGACATTAATAATCATACCATTTTCTATGGGGACTGCGATGATCGACGACAATTTGGTACGGGTTTCATAGTTCATAAGTCAATGGTACCAAACGTAATGGAATTTAAGACATTTAACCCGAGAATATCACTATTAACAATTAAAGCATACTGGTTTAATCTCACAATTATTAGTGTTCATGCCCCTACTGAGGAAAAGACTCAAGAAGAAAAAGACGACTTCTATGATGAATTAACGAACGTAGTAGATGGGATACCTAATAACAGAATAGTGGTTATATTAGGAGACCTTAATGCAAAAGTAGGAAAAGAATTAATATTTAAACCAACCATTGGCCACCATAGCTTGCATGAAGTATCTAACAATAATGGCTTCAACCTAATCGACTTTGCAACGAGCAAAGGCTTAGTGATCAAGAGCACAATGTTTCCCCATAAAAAGATCAATAAGGGAACATGGAAATCACCAGATAGGAATCACACAAATCAAATTGACCATGTACTGGTCAATGACAGGTTCAAAAACAGTATTACGGATGTCAAAACGATGCGAGGAGCGGACTGTGACTCTGACCACTATTTGGTTAAGGTAAAAATTAAAGCAAGACTGAAGAGAATGGTGGCAACAAGGCCAATGGTAATAGACAGATATGATATAACTAAGTTCAAAGATGAAATTTTCTGTAAACGCTTTAAAAGTGAGATACACAAACGCAGCAGTGAATTAAATATAGATAATATAGACTCAATAAATAATATGTGGAGGAGGGTACAGGAGACAATAAAAGAAACATCAGCTGAAGTCCTGGGAAAACCAAAAAACACTAAAAAACCGTGGTTCAATGAGAGGTGTGAGAAAGCCCTAAATCAAAGGAAAACATTTAGAAACTTGTACCTTAATGACCCTTCCCATGAAGAAAACAAAACAAAGTATAATGAAAGCAGAAAAGAAGCAAGTCGAACCTTTAAGTATGAAAAAAGAGTCTATACGAAAAACATTCTGGAAGAAGCAGAAAAATATCACAACGAACATAATACACACCAATTATACAAAAAAATTAATACACTTAAGGGAGGTTACAAAAAATATGAAAAGTTCCTAGTAAAGGAAGATGGAACACTAATTACTGCACGATCAGATATTGTAGAGAGATGGAAAACGTATTTCGAACATCTGCTTAACTGCAACGACCCCAGAGAAACCTTTACTTGGAAAAGGACAGAACCCAACCTAAACGAATGTACAATACCGTCAAAACAAGAAATTGAATTACAAATAAGGCGATTGAAGAACTATAAATCACCTGGTGAGGACGGTATACAAGGTGAAATTATGAAAATGCTAGACGAAGATTCATTAACACATATACATAGGTTATTAACCCACATTTGGGAGCAGGAAGTACTACCAGAAGGTTGGAATGTCGCTGTCGTATGTCCAATTCATAAAAAAGGTGACCCAAAAATATGTAATAATTACAGAGGAATTGCCTTATTGAATGTGGTCTACAAGATATTGTCCTATTGCATTTTAGATAGGATTAAACCCATTGCGGAAGAGATACTGGGAGACTATCAAGGTGGTTTTAGACCCAACAGATTAACAACAGATCAAATATTCAGCTTAAGACAGATCATAGAAAAATCATGGGAATTCAATAAAAGCATATGTATACTATTTGTAGATTTCAAAAAAGCATACGATTCTGTCCACCGACATAGTCTAATAAACATATTAAAAGAGTTTAAGTTCCCGAACAAACTAATAAAATTAATTGAGGCCACTCTGCAAAATACAGAAATCAAAATAAAGGTAGCATCGGAATTGTCAGAACCAGCAACGGTTAGGACAGGTCTAAGACAAGGAGATGCGCTATCACCAATATTGTTCAACCTAATTTTAGAAAAGGTAATCAGAGCAACAAATTGTAACAATGGAATAGTATTGGGAAACTCGAACATAAATATCTTGGCTTATGCGGATGATATAGCGATATTAGGAGATACTGAAGAAACGGTTAAACAAGTATGCAGGAAACTCATCACGATGGCTAGTAAGGTCGGATTGGAGATAAACGACGAAAAAACAGAGTACATGATTGTAAGTCGACAAGACAGAGAATATCAACAAGGACAATCTATGAATGTAGAAGGGCATGTATTCAAAAGAGTCACACATTTCAAATACTTGGGGCACTTGATAACACAAGATAACGATCTGAAGATGGAAGTCAGTGCTAGGATACAAAAAGGCAACAAAAGTTTTTTTGGTCTTGGAAAAGTACTGAGTTCAAGAACATTATCGACAAACCTGAAGATACAAATGTACATGACCCTGATACGACCCATAGTACTGTATGCTGCGGAAACATGGCCACTTAGGAAAGCAGAAGAAACCAGACTTAAAGTATTTGAAAGGAGAATCTTACGGAAAATCTACGGCCCATGCTTTGACACAAACACAAGTGAATGGCGTAAACGTCATAATAAAGAACTCGAAGAGGTGTTCCAGAGACCGAACATCGCGAATGAAATCAAGAAAAGAAGATTAACCTGGGCAGGACATGCATGGCGGAGAGTAGGATCCATAGTCAGAACAACAATCGAAGAGAACCCGGTCGGTAAGAGACCCTTAGGAAGACCACGCTTACGCTGGGAAGACTGTGTAAAAAGGGACGTGGAAAACATTGAACCAGAGATACCATGGAGAGTAGTGGCAGAAAATAGAGATAGATGGAGAGAAATTTGTTTGGCGGTATGGTCTCAATGACCGAAAACCAAAAAAAAAAAAAAAAAAAAAAAAAAAAAAAAAATACTACAAAATGTCCTTTAAAATCTTAACATCTTTTTTAATTTATTCTAATTGTTAGTATAATTAATACAATAAATTAAATATGCTTATAAAATTCAATTATAAAAATGTAAATAGTATCTAATACTTAAAAAATGTAATAGAAGCTTTTAGTAAAAAAATATGCAAATATAAATGCAGAAATATTTTTCAACATAATTGAAATCATCCTAGAATATAACATAAATATGCAATTAAGAATAAATACCTAAGTGGAATAATTTATACGTAATTTATCTCGTAATAAATATACATATTTTTTTTAAAAAATATGCGAAATGTTATAATTTTGTAACCAAAACATTAATTTGATATTATTTTTTTTAGGGCTCTGAAAATTTGGTGTTGACAGATATAAGTAGAACAAAATTGTGGTCATCAAGTGTGGTACGTTGTATAACATGGCACCCACAAGTAACTAAACTTGCTATTGTTTCTTCCCATGATATTGTTTATGTGTACAATCGAAAAGGTTCTGAAGCTAAAATAAAAAATAAATCTCAAAGTGCCATTCTATCATTAGCTTGGAGGTGAAGTACTTATAATACTTTTTTTTTTCACCATGTAATATTAAACTCTTTACATTATAGACCATTGAGTATTGGTACTTTAGCAGTGGGATGTGAAAAAGGTATTTTCATATGGACAATTGAGTTTAGCAACATACATGTAAGACCAACTGTAAATAATGTTTGCAAATTTGTCAGAGATGATCATAGATATATTACTGGATTATCATGGAATAAAATGGTAACTTCTATAAAAACTCTATTATATACCATGATGTAACCAACTGTAAATTAACATGTATATTTTGAATTACCAAATTGTTTTGATAAACCAACAAATCTCTCAAACATTTTAAATTTATTTTCTGCATTAAATTATTTTTATATTTATTTAAAAATTTGTTACATAGTTAATACATTGTCTATTTTTATAGTTATTATAAACAAGTAATAACAAAACATACAATTTAATACTTTTTTATTTAGGGTGATCTTTTGATATCCAGTGCACTGACATCTAAAACAATGTATATTTGGAATTATCCTTTAGAAACCTGTGTTCCATTGCGCAGCATTAGTTCTGACACATTAAACTTTGTACATTGGTCGCCTGACAATACTAAAGTGTTTTCCTGTTCAACTAGTGAAACATTTAGGTAATTCTGGTTAATTTTAATTTTTTCTTTTTACTATGTAATTTTTTTTTCTCTTCAGAATTTGGTCAACTGATAACTGGACTTCAGATAAGTGGTCTTTGAATAATCGTTCTAGAGTGCAATGCGCATGTTGGTCACCTTGCAGTTTAGTTTTATTATTTGCAACAGATTCTTGTTCAATTATAAATGCTATTGACTTTCGAAAATCAGACGTGTTCAATGGATCAAGGAATTACAAAAAAGTTGCATGGCCTATAGTTGACATCAAAAGTGAATGTATAAATGATAAAGTGTAAGTGGTAAATTAATAAATAGTGCAATGTCTTGAATAATAAACAGTAGAGATTTGATAGTCTGGTGAACGCAGTTACTTAATCTGTACAGCACACAAATATGTAATTTTTATTTTGGATTTCCAGAACACAATTTATGAAATAACCTTTCCAACAACAATGATTTTGTTAGATTACGTTGATTCAAAGAACGTGCTTTTGACTTGTAAATCAAGTGAATTACTCAAAAAAAAAAAAAAAAACTGAATTTTTTGCTAATAGATATTTATTAAAAATTTTAAATGACCTATTATTGAAACAATAATTACAAACATGATTTTTAAAATGAATATTTAATTTTTTGAGTAGGAAAGACTGTTGAAAAACCGCTGATACCATTAGTACACAAATAACATATCAACATTAAATACCAAATACCTAAAGCCACACTGTTTATAAACATCTAAAATGTACACAAATTATATATATTAGTATTTTCTTAACATGATTATTTGATATGATATAATTTTCAAAATATTTTGGCTATTTAGAAATTTTGTACTTTTTTTAGTTTTTTTTTTGATTTGTAATGATAACATTTTTCCTTACTCAAATACCTTGAAAATGGATACATTAGGTATAACATTCATCATAAGTTGTTCAAATAGCAGTAATTTAAAAGTACCTTAAAATACATATATTGCAAAATTTTTTTTTTTTATAAATATCCGAAGTTCAAAATTTTACAAATTGGAAATTTAAACGAATTATAACCATCTTTCCTATACCAATTTTAGTTATTTTCTGGCTATTAAAAAGATATTAATTGTTAAGACTTTTTGAGAGTTATATTAACCTTAAAAGTTTTGGGCATAACATCTATTATTATTTTCTTTATACAATACATTTTTCATAATGTCATGACTAACTTTACTCTGTTCTTTTGTACATTAGTATTGATTTGTAAATTAATAATAATACTGCATTATATAATGTATATAATAGTAGCTTAACGCCTTAACATACCATACTTGTTTATTTCATACTAATAAAAAAATAATTTGTTTTAAGAGGACGTAGCTGCCCACATGTGTTGTGTCCGTCTTACTCATGTACGACAGCAAGTTTTCGTTCACCAGTTTTAATAGGGTACTTTTAGTTTTGATACTAGAGTGAATTGATCTATTATAAAATTTAAAGGTAAGATTAGTATCTAGGGCACGACGTAGGCTTTAATTTATATTATTATTCTTAAGTATATTATGTCCTTTTTGAAACTGCACATTTTTAAAATGATCATAACTTACTTAACAATAATAATATCCAAAAAAAAAGCCTATGTCGTGTCCTAGATAATAATTGTACCTTTAAATTGTATAATAGGTCGATTAACTCTAATATCAAAACTAACAGCTCACTAATTCACCTATAAAAGGTTATCCTCAGTGGTGAGATATGCCATTCAACTGCTTTGTATTTTATTCTTCTTATTTGTATTTTTTTTTTTTTTGCCAATATATACATTTATTTATTTATATTTACTATTGAAATTGGTAAACGAAAATTGTTTATGTCTTACGTGTGTAAGACGGAAACAACACAATATGTGGGTACGACGTCCTCTTAATATAAATAAATTATAAAATATTCTCAGAAATAGAGGTGGATACATCAATTTTCTTCTGCAATAATTTATCTTTGAATTCAATTGAACTCCTCTATTACAGTGACAAAATCATTATTAATTCTGGTACATTAGTTTAATAATCAAACAATCCTAGATGGTTAGATGTTATATAACAAATTACTGTATGAATAATAAGTATAAACTATTTATTAAGAATTGTTTTTTGTAGATAATTATATTATTTTCTGTTCCAAACTTGTTTTGCTACTTAGTATGATTTAACTTTACTTCTTAAAATTGTTTATAATTTAGAATTGGTGGAACACTTTCTGATATGTGCTGGGATCAAAACGCTCAACGTTTAGCTATAACTTTTAAAAATAGTGGGTCTTTAGTTGTATTTCAAACTGCTCTAAGTGAAGCTGTTGTTGATTGCATTCCATTGTAAGTATCTAATTTTGGCATTCTAAAATGTTTTTAATTAATCTTTGACAATGTCGGTTTTAGTTGTATTATTCAAGGACGGCTTGATGAGGAACCTTCTGCTATTGCATTCCAACCAACTTACGAAAAAGGGTCTTTGTTAACAATTGTATGTATGAACATAAAATGTTACATTTGAAGTCCATAATTATCTTTATATTCATTAATCTTTTTTAGGGTTGGTCAAATGGGAATATTGAATATGTACCATTTGAATATATTACTAAGCCAAAGCATGAACCTGAAATGTTTGGAACTAATTTGTTTGGTGTAAACAATGATAGAAGTATCTCTGGTCTACCTAGTATGACAACAACTACTAATTCACTAATTGAATATTTGTTAAACTAATTTGAAATGCATTATTTCTTTTTTTTTTAATTTTTGTAATTTTAATCTCAAGTTTAATCCATCATTTTAATACAATTCCAATGTTAATAAAATATTATAATCTTACTATATTTTTGTTGCAACTGTACAAAAAAAATATATATATATTAATATTGAACTTTATTTTAACAAAATGTATGTATCAATTTTATTAAATGACATAATGTAAACCTATTAAATTAAAATTGTATATTAATTTCAAAATTCAAATATAGGTTAGTAAAAAATATTTTACCTGTTGGGGCAATATCTTTTAATACTTTAGAAAATATACTAAATTCTCTTTAAAAATATTTTACTTTGCCCTTAAATAATATTATTTATGTCAGATTTTAATTATATTCACTAGTTATTTATTCAAGTTTTGTGGTTTAAAAAAAAAAATAAGAATTACTAAACTCTTTTCGCTAATTTTTCCATGCTCCATCCATTAGCATCCTCCCCAAGAACGAAAGATATATTTTATAATACATTGCTTGTCTATACAATATATTGTACTTAATGGTATTATGTTTAAGATGTATTATTAATAACAATATATAATTATTTTTAATCTTAGTATATTGTTTTTTTGTAATTACAATTCTTAATTTGTTCTACAAATTTGTCAATATTAAATATTATAAAAATAGTTTCATATATTTTATAACATTCAAAGTTTAAATATGGATTAAGGGATTCCACACAAAATTGTTGTTTGCACAACTAAAAAAAAATGTTATAACTTAACACGTTCACTGCGTACTGACGCCAATTGGCGTCATAAGTATCATTCAGCAACGCGTTTGACGCCATATGGCGTCTAATATACATTTAAAATAAATGGTTTAAAATTCCCTACGCGTGGCTGAATGTTATTTTATTATTATTTAGCGTGGATTAAACGCATGTTTTTAAATATGTATACATACGTCGTTATGAGCAGTTTCTTTATATTTTTTTTTAATTTCTTTTGTTTTTACTTTTATCATACGCACTGGGTGATAACTGCAAAAAGACATACACAGTCTACATGTTAACTGAATATTTATAATTTTTTTTTTTAAATATTTTTTTAAGCTTATAAAGTTTAAAATATGGTTTTTTATTTAAAAGATTCAACATTTTTAATTACAAACTAAATATTTCAAATTATAATTTTTATTTTTATTAATTTATTGATTGCACACTTAAGCACTTCCTTTTTTGGCCTAAAAAATCATAACATGGCTATGCTGCAACCTTTTTATAGCTCAACTTATAACAACCTTTAATACTAATATTTTTGATTTAAATTTGATTATATTAAACAGATGGGAGGGGGGGCTTAATCTATATATAACTAGTTCTTATATAGCTTATAGTATACTCTTAGATTTTTAAATTGTTATATTATTATTATATACCTAATAATATAATATAATAGTATTTTTTTAAAATAATTCTATTCATTCTATTCATTCTATTCAACTGATTTTTTTTTTTATTATTATAAATTATAAGAACCTTTCCAAAAAGAACAAAAATTATTGACTGACCAGATGAGAATTATGGAGATGTAAATGAATTAGAGTGTACAATAACTGATATGCCACATGACAAATATTTATAAGAGGAAAAAATATTTTTAAATAATCTAAAGCTAACTATAAAAGAAATAGAAGAAGTGGAAAGAAGAACTGTAGGACAGCAAAATAATAATGAATGGCAAAAGTATAGAAAATCACGTCTCACAGCTTCCAATTTTGGCAAAGTGTGTAAACTTAGGTCTTAGAGCAAGCACTTCTCGGGCAAACACCATCAAAAATATACTTTATGATATTTTTCAAGGAAACCCTGCCACTCGGTTTGTATTATAGTAATCAAGCATACCTACTGCATAAGTACTCTAAAATCTAAATAATTAAATGTTATTTTATTCATATTATTTATAGGTATGGCATTGAAAATGAACCAATGGCCAAAAGTGATTTTGAAAAAAAGTTTGATGTTAAAATTGAACCAGCAGGATTATTTATACACAATAAACTCAATTATTTAGCCGCAAGTCCCGATGGACTAATAGGCAAAGACGCAATAGTTGAAATTAAGTGTCCTCAAAGTATGAAGGAGTATACACCGGAAGAAGCTGTAAATAACAAAAAATCAAAATAAATGATTTATAATGATGAAAAACTAATATTAAAAAAAAATAATTGTTACTATTTCCAAGTACAAGGACAACTCAATATTACAAAACGAAAATGGTGCTATTTTGTAGTGTGGACGCCCAAAGGTAACTTACACTTTTTACTTCATTTTTTATTTCAAATCAACATAATCTAATATTTTATATTTTTTTTTAGGTTTTGTAGTTGATAAAATATTAAGAGACGAAGAATTTTGTAAAAATAATATTGAACCCCAATGCACAAAATTTTATATGGAATCTTTAGTACCAGAAATTATAGATTCGAGATTTGATCGAGGATTATCTATAAGATCTGGTTTACCGGAACCATAATATTTGTATATTTGTATATTTGTATATTTTTTTAATAATATACTCTCTAAATTAGGCTTTATACCTACCTAAAATAAATAGAAAATTGTTGTTTTTATAATAAATATATATTTTTTAATTATTAAAAATTAAATTGTAAAGGTTTTTGCCGTAAAGCTAAAAAGACGTGTGTACAATCAATGGACGTCGAACAATAATAATATAGAATGTAGAATACAGCGTAATGCGTATGCGGGTATTTACGTAATTATTATTACCGTGTATTACTATACAGTGTTGTTATGGTTATTACTTATTTGTCAATTAGTAACCTGGTGTAGGGCAGAGACCCGTACACATACTAATAATCATTTACTACGCACACAGTTACAAATGACTTACGCACGCACTTTAAATATTGCCTATACCCAACTCCTTAAATATACACCATCACCGATCCCCTTAATCAATAAATATTGCAATAATAGTTTGTAGACTTTTAATTGATATAGGTGTACAATTGTTTTTATAAAAAATATCTGCCGTCTTCTATTTAAAAATTATATTACCAACCTAGTTAATAAAAAAAGTAGCATAAAAAAATGTAGATACTAAACGAGCGATTGGTTTTTTTTTACCTATTGTATTTAAAGGTCAAAACCTTTGCCACCCTCTTTTGAAAACTGAAATGATGCCACTCTCCACACATAATTACATTTTTATATGAGCCTCAGAAACCAGTGGTGGATCCAGGGGGAAGACAAAGGGGGCATTTGCCCCCCCCCATGCACCTCCCAAAATTAAGCCCTGGATCCACCACTGTCAGAAACACCATTCTTTTATTTTATTGTTATTCATGAGATATGTATACAGACGTATTCTCACCAAAAAATCTTGACTAGTTTGCATAATAATTAATTAGTTAAAGTTTATTTCTATATATTAATCTATAACCTAATATCTATATATTATATATAAATGGAACGTGAAAAATGTTATTAACTCATCAATCGAGAACGGCTGGTAGGATTTGGCTAACTTAATGTTAAAATCGATTTTTCGTTGTACAGTTATATAATTATTAAAATAGATTAGATGTGCGCGATATACAGCCGGGCGTATGCAATGCCGCATTGGTATGTATCGGCAAATCGAGATTTTTACTTCTATAAGCGGCCCATGTACATATTTAGTGGCCTACAATTAAGTCTATAATTATTACGAGCTTATATTTGGCCAATCGTGTTTTAAGAATGAATTTATTTTCACTCATAATCACACAACCGGCCCAAACTTTAAGCGGTCCACCGAGCATTTTATTAGGCTTTGACGCTATGTAATATTGTAACTAGTGAATTTTTGAACTTTTTTTTATTTTATTGTAGTGTGTTGTTTGATGATTTTTCCATATAATATCTTCACCTTTTATATCATAAAATATACAGAATATACTTAGTAATAGCATAGGCTGAGTGGCCGTCTTAAACTCTTAAATATTTTGAAAATTTTATTATGTACCTACCTATAGAAAGTTACAAAATAAATATTTGGTGAATATTTAAAGTATCTACACTGACTACACTACATTCTACAGTTATTGAATCAAAACAAAATAAGAAAATTGTTCGATGGTAATTCGTTAATTTTCGGCTGAATATCTAATGACAAAAACATTTTAAAATCTCATAGACAATTAATTTTTCCTTCCTGTAAACTTTTTTGTCGTTGTTAATAGTAGTAAAACTTATGAAGAATCTTGTATTCAATTTTCAAAACTTAGATATATAGGTATAGATACAATTTTATTTATTTATAACTCAAATTAATTGGCAAATATTCGTGATTTTGACAAAATTCTAAGTTTAGACGCTCATAAAAAATATTAAGAATTTCCACTCTACTTATTTTTTTATTTCCACCATTAAAAACTTATGATGATCCATATTATATTACATTTTCAAGTAGATTTTTTACTGAATGATAATTTTCTTATCAATAATAATTTTTTTTTAAAAAACTATAAAAAAACGAAATTTTCTTATTCAAATAAATTGTGTGTCAAAATATGTTTAAAATTTTATCATGTACCTACCTACCTATAAAAAATGTTGAAATTAATGTTTTTATTAATGTTATAGTTGCATCAAAAAAACTAAATCGATTTGGTCCAGATTTTGTGATTTTTTGCACAAAAATTTCAGGTTTTTCCCCGGTGCTTTTGAAAACTACTGTGATTAAGTGATTTTACAAATTTTACCTATCAAAAGTACCAATTAGATTCACTTTCCCATCAGAAAAGATGCCGAAGTTGCCGAAACCGTAGAATATTTATTCTTATTTAATTATAACTAGAAAAATGTTTACAGACATTAAAAGGTGGGTAAGTCGATGTCGCTCTACTGTACCGTCATTATTACGTATTTTGTAAATATTTGAATTTTCAATGCTTATAAAAAAAAATTGTGACTTAGGATTTTTAATATTTTTCATCTGTCTTTGA